AGGAATGCTGAGCACCGTGAACCTCCAGGAACTTAGCTCTGGAAAAAGGTCTTCGGTACATTTAAATACCACGGGGCAAACACGGAGATCCTCATAAATTTGAGAAGAATTGTTATCAATGTGGCACCCTACTTTAAAACTCCTTTTTCCAAATGAAATCAGAGCTGTTTATGTGCTTTTATTCTAGCTCCAAGTACACATTAATAGTCATGGTCCTAAGGAGTGTAGAAAGCAATCACTTAGGGTAAAAAGGGGGGGAAAAGTAATTTTATCTCTACTTTAGACATTTGAAAACAAAAACTAAGGGCCCAGCCACAGTGGCACAGTGGGAAGGGGCTGCTGCGTGGTGGCTGGGGCTGCATGGGAGGCCTGGTTTTGTTCTCAGCCCAGTCTTAGCCCAGTCTAAATGGGCCACGCACGGTGGCACGTGCCTGCTGTCCTTGCTGACCGAGAGCCCGGAGCAGGAATACAGCACCACAAGGCCCTGTCAGAGATGCTGGTCTCTTTCTGCCTCCTGTGCTCCCTCACTCTTCCTCACACCCTCCCCCCTCCCTCCCCTCCTCTCTCTCATTAAAAAATATATTTAAGTCCTATAGGTTAATAGTAGCAAAATTGGGAATTAGAACCTAGATCAAGACAAGATTGTTCTGACTCAAGTCTGTCTTTAAGTTCTTTTGATCATACCTCTGATTGTTTTATTATTATTATTTGTTTCTTTTAACTTGTTTAACAATTTCTCATACTCATTCATTTCCAGTAAGCAATGACCATAGAAGTTTGGGTTTCTCTCTCCAGGTACTGCATAGAACGTGTGTTCAGACCTCGCAAGTTAGATCGATTTCATCCCAAAGAACTCCTGGAATGTGCCTTTGACATTGTCACTTCTACCACCAACAGCTACCTGCCCACTGCTGAGATCATCTACACTATCTATGAAATCATCCAAGAGTTTCCAGCACTTCAGGTTCCTTTCCGTGTTTCACCATTCTGCAAGTCCCCTCCTAGAGACCTTCCCCAGCCGCGCGGGGGAAATCCACAACTACAGCCCTGTTTCCCAGCTTCTGTTGGCAGAGTGAGATCCTTACTAAAACGACCAACACACACGATGATGTGGCTTCCAAGGTTCTTCTCGAGCTCTTCGCTCTGTCTTGACAGGCCTGATTTTGTTTCGGGGTCCGGGTGGTGGTGTTCTGCCCATTTCTCCAAGCCTGGCTGAGATTCCTAGGATGTGGGCCAGCTGGTGACATGAAGGTTAAGGCAGCTGGATCCCACATGGCCATCAGCACTGTTCAGTCCCAGGCCCAGCTTGGAAAATGTGCCACACACATGTGCAGGCATGCCCAAAATCCTAAAAGTGGAAGAAATGGCGAAAAAGGGATTACGGTGTGACCATCCCCCATGGGGGATGCTTTCTTGTTTTCTCACTCTCTCTATATATATCTCTCTGTGTGTCTCTCTGTCTCTCTCCAGCAAGCACTTCTGCCCTTTGTCAACTTTAAAAAAAAAAAAAGATTTCTAGGATGCCTTTCCCTTGAACATGGGTGGCTCCCTCCTACCTCTGGTGCCTTAACTTCCCAACTTCCTTTCGTGTTTACACACTGTCTACCTAGCAGGTGCCACTGCCAGCTCTCCTCAGGCCTCCTCTCCCAATCCCAATGTCAATCAGGTTCCCCTCCCCATCCACCTGTTGGTCACGTATTTCCTTGTCTGCAATCTTGTCTTTTCTCTCTTTTTCCTTTCTTTGCTCTCTTTTTTTAAAACAAGAAAGAGGGAAAATGAGAAATTACACTTCAGGGGGATGGCCGACTACAATCCCTTCTCTAGAGATTCTGGGCAAGTATGCACACACATCCAGTGTGATTTTTCAGGCCACCTGGTCTGGGACTCAGACTACACAGCCATGCGGGATCCAGCCACCTAACCACCATGCCTCTGGCTGGCCTATACTCTGCTTTACCCAGGCATGGTTCGGGTCCTTTCCTTCCCAGAAAGCCTGACCATCCCTTTAGTGACTGACCTCCGTGGACTACCTTAAGTTGTAATCTCCAAACTGAATGTGTGCTCTTCGGCCCATGGGTCCACTTTTCCACACACCTCATCACACCCGACTCCACACCCAGCACACCACTCAGAATGTTCATTAATTCACTCGTATGCTTACAGTCAACCACTATTGAACCCAACCCTTCCCTCCTTGAAATGTGTGGACTTGCTTGTGTTTTTAACGTAAAACCAGTCAGGGTGTTTTTGATGGATATAACTTCCTATTAAGTTAGATTATACTCTCTGGCTACAACAAGGTAAAAAGAATCTATATGTCATGAACTGGAGACAATATGCTAAAGGTCAACCCTTCCATTGTGTTAGGATTACACATTGGTGGTAAGAGTCCAGATTTGGCCATGTACCTCAATTAATTTTATAATGAAAATCATTTTTCTCTGTATCCTAGGAAAGAAATTATAGTATTTATTTGAACCATACTATGTTATTGAAAGCAATACTCTTACACTGTGGGATCCCAGAAGATAAACTCAGTCAAGTCTACGTTATTCTGTACGATGCCGTGGTAAGCATTTAATGACTTTGACCTGAATTTTTTTTTTTTAAGAATTATTTTATTTAACTTTATTTATTTACTTGTTTGTTTATTTAAGTTTGACCGGAAAGGGACAGTGAGTGAGAGGAGGGAGAGAGAGAGGAAATGTGAGAAAGCAAGCCACCAGGTCTGGGACTTAAACTGCAGTCAGTCATGTGGGAGTCCAGCGCCCTTAACCACCACACAGCCTGCCATCACCTGACCTGAATTTAAGGATAATGATATTTCATGATTATTTTCTTACTGAGGCAGCCATAAAGCTAGAAAATAGGAATTTGCCTTCTGCCTTCACTGTTCTAAGGGGAAAGAACCAATCATCTTCCGTTTACCACGAGTTAACAAGTTCAGCAGTCCCCCACTCTGCTGTTTCAGTAACATGGTCGGTCATTCATGTTAAAAAACAGTCAATGGAAAACTCCAGAAATAAACAGTCCTCTGCAGTCAGTCATGTGGGAGTCCAGCGCCCTTAACCACCACACAGCCTGCCATCCCCTGACCTGAATTTAAGGATAATGATATTTCATGATTATTTTCTTACTGAGGCAGCCATAAAGCTAGAAAATAGGAATTTGCCTTCTGCCTTCACTGTTCTAAGGGGAAAGAACCAATCATCTTCTGTTTACCACGAGTTAACAAGTTCAGCAGTCCCCCACTCTGCTGTTTCAGTAACATGGTCGGTCATTCATGTTAAAAAACAGTCGATGGAAAACTCCAGAAATAAACAGTCCTTAGCTTTAAATCATATGCCATTCTGAGTAATATGATAAAATCTCTTGCCATTCCACTCCATCTCACCAGAAGGTAAATCATGCATTTATTCAGCATATCCAGGTTGTATATGCCACCCACCCATTAGTCACTTAGCCCTCTTGGTACAATAAGATATTTTGAGAGACTATATTCATGTAGCTATTATTGTAGGACATTGTTACAATTGTCCTATTTTATTATTAGATATTGTTGTTAGTCTCTCACTGTTCCTAATTAACAAATTAAGTCACACATACACATATAAATATATATATATATATATATATATATATATAATAAAACATAGAATATCTAGGAGTCAGTATTATCCACGGTTTTAGGCATCCACTTAGGTTCTTGGGCTCTGTCCCCTCTGGATGAGGAGGACCACTGAACTGACTGAGCGCTATTCTGTACTAAATCTGTACTACTAGTAACCTCCAGGGTGTTTTTAATAAAGGTACCCTTTTTTTTTTAATGAGAGAGAGCATGCAGAAGAGAGACGGTGTTTTTGACAGGGTCCCTAAGTGTACATTACACTGCTAAAAGATTGGACTATCTAAATTAATTTGTAAGCTAATAAAAGTCTTCACTAACCTGTAACTGTTACGCCATCCACCAGTCCCGGTCCCACCGTTAGAAATAACCTCTGTTGAGCACCTGTCCCTGTGCTCGTCATTGTTCTGTAGACTCTTCACATGGATCAGGTCGCTTTGCCCTCACCCCAGTGCTGTCATTGTCCTCACTTTACAGAGACCAAGGGAGGGAGTGTGGGTGTTGACAGTCATCCGAGATGGATAGCCCTGCCTTTAGTTCTCCCAGCCTGCCTGTCCTCAGTCAGTAAAGTCACTTATAGATTTGTATCGATTGAACTGGGGGAGAGGAGCTCAGATGTCCAGTGAGGCCTCAGTCACTACCTCCTTCATGTGGGACCAGGGCTATGGCACCTCCGGTTGTCCCTGATTTAGCCACGCTGTATCATAGTGTGTGTGCAGCTACAGAGCCTGTAGGGGAGACACTGCGAAGTATTCATTAGTGTCACATTACTGTGCTGGCATGGAGGTGAACATTTATCTTTCTCTAACATCTTTCCGTGTTAAATTTTGTTAAATTTCACAATAAAATGAATCCAGAGGACACAATAGCTGACAGTGCCAGGCAGTCCACAGTCCAGGCAGAATGGAGAGTGCAAGTCCATGCGTTGTTTTTATTCAGTGAATATAAGCCGAACAGCTTAGCTGCCTTTTCTTTCATCTGGCAGGTACACAGGAAAGACCCAGACTTTACTGTTTATTTCTTGATGGTTCTTTCCTGCTGTTTGTCAGCCACAGATGGGGTATAATGTCAGTCGGACGCTGGCGGAAACCCAGGGACTATGTGGGGGGTGGGAGGCTTCAGCTTGTTTTTGTTCGTATTTCATGGCCGCAGCCCCTCTGCCAGTGTGGGGCGAAATGCTCAGACCACGCTTTTTTTTTTTTTGGAGAGGTTTTTGCTATAGGGTGTGTGCGCTCACCAGACAGACAGACAGAGACAGAGAGATAGAAAGTGAGAAATCACCCCCCAGGGAGGATGGCCACGCTGCAGTCCCTTCTCCTCCATTCTCTCGGGATCTTGGGCACGCACGCACACGCACCCGGTATGCGTTTAAGCCACCGGGTCCGGGACTCGAACCATGGTCGACTACGTGGGAGTCCAGCGACATAGCCATCACGCTAACTGCTGGTCCCAGACCACGCTTTTATTAAGGGGAACAGAGATCAAAATGATTCCCTCCACACCCAAACAGAAATACCCTGCTTGCCCAGTCTGGAGCCGGGTTGCCCTGCCATTCAGCAAGTACAACTTTCCTATTTTTAGTTCTTTCAGACCAAGGTTTTTCTAATTTTAATGTAATGTTAGTTAGGGCTTTATTCGAATTGAGGGACATTTTCTTTAATCACAGAATTAAATCCATCCTTTACCATTGTGGAGAGTTTGCCCACCTGAAGGAACTAATTGTCTGAATTAGCCTGCAAACTGTATCTCATTTGGAATGAAATTTGGTGGCTCTCATTGTTACCTTTTTCTTCTGCATCAGACAGAGAAACTGACAAGAAGAGAAGTGGAAGCTAAATTTTGTAACCTGTCTTTGTCGTCTAATAGCGTAAGTACCTTCTAATGGTGTCAGCACAGCTTTTCTCTGTAATTTTGTGATACCAGAAAATGTCACCAGATCTCGTGGTAGTAAGGTGGCCCCACTGCCTCACAGACAAGGTTTTTCCCTTGAGCGTTAGGTACCATGGCAACCTCTGGGCTTAGGAAGAGAAATGAATGTTATGATCAAAGAACGTCTCTGCGTGCATCTTCATGATGGCCTGTAATCATCCCGCTCTCCCTTGGTCAGCAGGTACTTTTCCTCTACATCCCTTATGAAGCCGTGCTAAGGAGCGCCTCCTGCTGAGCAGATCTAGGGCGAGTTGTCCTGTCCCCAAACGGGTTAGATGGGACTAGAATGCGACACAGAACTCCACAGATTCATCTGACTATCTCCTCCTTCTCTGACTACCCTCAGGCCTTCTAACTCCTCTGAGTTGATCTAAAGCTCTTGCTTTTCTGGTACACTTCTACTCCTAAAATTTCATATTTGATCCTACCAGCAATGAGGAAAGTCTTACAGGGTAAACAGGTTGGTCTTATTCTCTCTGCAGGCATCAGATTGATCCCAGACCTTTGGCACAATAACTCTCACTTAATTGAGTAGCTGAACAACAGAAGACAACAGGGATTTTGTACGTTTTCCTGAATGTTTACATAAGAGCTTTCTTTTTTTTTTTTAACTTTCCCAGAGCCCTTCTAGTCCCAGTCTGACACGCAATTACATAACCCTGTGCTGATCAACAAATTTCACACATGGGATAGATTAAAATATGGTTGTCCACAGACCAGGCAGTCACTCTGCAGGGTGGCAGGCAGGCGTAGTAGTGGGGGTAAAGAGAATAATAAGTTAGGATTCAGACTGCCTTCCACCTCTTTCTTTTTCCTTTCTTCTTTAAAGAATTATTTATTTAATTTAATTTTTATTATTATTATTTTAATTTGCTATAGGGAATGTGCATTCACCAGAGAGAGAGCAAGAGGGAGGGAAAGTAAGAAAGCAAGGCATGGGACCAGCAGGTGGCGTAATGGCTATGTCGCTGGACTCCCACACAGTGGACCATGGTTTGAGTTCTGGACTCCGCTGCTTAAACCTCAGGCTGGACACATGTACGTGCGTGCCCAAGATCCTGAGAGGAGAATGGAGGAGAAGGTACTGCAGGTTGGCCAACCTCCCTAGAGGGTGATTTCTCACTTTCTGTCTGTCTTTCTGGAGAGCACACACGCCCTATAGCAGAAATCTCTCTTTAAAAAAAAAAAGCAAGAAAGAAACCCACCAGGTCTGGGACTTGAACTGTGGTTGGCCATGTGGGAGTCCAGTGCTTTAACTACCACACCACCTGCTGCCCCCCCCCCTTTTTTTTCTTTTTTACTGTTAGGTTCTTTTTCTTCCATGAGTGAGAGAGACACAGAGATGGGCACCTCCACCAGTGTCCTCACACCATGATCCTCCCTTGGCTTCAGCTAGCCTGGATCATGGGCACGTGCGTGTGCTCAGCATGTTCAGGAAGGTCTTCAGATACGAACCCAGAACCTTCCCGCCTGCACCAGCCTCACAGAGTAGGGGCATGTTTGTGACTGCCCAGGAGCTGATGGGCTGGAAGAAAGGGACCATGGCACGACCGGACTGTGGAGAGTGCTCCTCTCTGTTTCCCTCTCATAAGTGCACACTCCTCACTAACACAGAGGAAAAAAGCTTATTTTTTCTTTTAGTTATAGGGTGCATTGCACTTGCCAGAGAGATACAGAGAGAGAGAGAGAAAGTAAAAATCACCCTCCAGGGGACCAGCAGTTAGTGTAATGGCTATGTCGCTGGACTCCCATGTAGTTGACCATGGTTCGAGTCCCACAAATGCTTAAACTCATGCATCTTCGTGACTGTTGTGCCACAGAGCCAGCCCCTGATAGTTAATGGGACAATGTAATGTTGAAATTTATTTAAAATGAACCATTTTTTATTTTATTTAGAAGAAAAAAATTTAGGGGCCGGCAGGTGGCATGGTGGTTAAGGGTGCTGGACTCCCACATGGCTGATCATGGTTCAAGTCCTGGACCTGGCAGCTTACTTTCTCTTTCTCTCTCCCTCTCTCTCCCTCTGTCCCTCTCTGTTCATATTGAAAGAAAGAAAGAAAGAAAGAAAGGAAAGAAAGGAAGGAAGGAAGGAAGGAAGTAAGGAAGGAAGGAAGGAAGAAAGAAAGGAAAGAAAGAAAGAAAGAAAGAAAGAAAGAAAGAAAGAAAGAAAGAGGGAGGGAGGGAGTTAAAAACGTAATTCTTTAAAAAAAAAAAAATTTAAATCAAAGACTTTTTTTGGCTATAGGGCATGTGCTATCACCAGAGAGAGACACCGAGAGAAAATAAGAAATCGCCCCTAGGAGGATGATCACACTGCAGTCCCTTCTCTATTCTCCTCTCAGGATTTTGGGAACACATGCACGTAACACCTGGTGTGATTTTTCAAACCACCAGGTCCAGGATTCAAACTGTGGAGTCAGCCGTGTGCGGTCCAGCCACCTAAACCTAAACCTCCACACCACCTGCTGGCCCAAAGACTTATGATTTTATATCATTTTATTTTTTAATTATTTTATTTACCATTAGTAGTATTTTCATTTGCTACAGGGTATATACATGCTTACCAAAGAGAGAGAGAGAGGGTAAGTGAGCGAGAGTGCACAGGTGATAAAGTAAGCTGCCAAGGATTTATGATTTTAAATTTAAATTTTTTTTAATCTTTTTTTTCGGGGGGGGAGGAGAGGTTTTTTCTATAGGGCGCGTGCACTCACCAGAAAGACAGAGAGAGACAGAGAGACAGAAAGCGAGAAATCACCCCCCAAGGGGATGGCCACGCCACAATCCCTTCTCCTCCATTCTCCTCTTGGGATCTTGGGCATGCACGCACACGCGCCCAGCGTGAGTTTAAGCCACCAGGTCTGGGACTTGAACTGCGGTCAACTACGTGGGAGTTCAGCGACATAGCCATTACGCTAACTGCTGGTCCCAGTTTTTTTTTTTATCTTTAATGCAATGAACATATTATAGGAGATTTGTTAGCACTTGGGTTTTTTAAATGTAAGCGATTTACAATTAACTATTGAGCTATATTATGCAGAGTCTTCATTCAGCTGCTAGTTTCTGTGTGCCAGATTAACAGATAAACCAACCAGACTCGGCTTAATCTCAGTCTTAAAATACCTATACTTGCATTTCTTAGTAATTTCTCCTTCAGGACCAGCAGGTGGCATGGTAGTTAAGGGTATTGAACTCCCACATGGTCAACTGTGGTTTGAGTCCCAGACCTGATAGCTTTCTCTCTCTCTCTCTCTCTCTCTCTCTCTCTCTCTCCCCACACACACACACACACACACACTATGGTCAAATTAATTAAAATAAGTAAGTACATAAATAAAGTTAAATAATTCTTTTAAAAAAAAGAAAAAGAATTTCTGCTTCAGTACCTGGAGTTCTTCCTTGTTTTATGTCCTCTTCCTCCTTCTATGTGGCATGACTGTGCCTGGTCCCCAAATAGGTCAGCTCTAGTTACTGCCCTGTTCTGGGGCAGAGGGTGAGCACAGGTGGAAAGAGCCATGGTCTGGATTTAGGATTGCGCCTGAGGGAAAGAAGGATCCAAGAAGGATCGGGAGGATGCCTGCAGGAGCCCACATCCCAAGGCCACCATGGGAATCTTTCAAGCAAAGGGAGGGGATGGAATTCCTGGCTGATTCTGTACAGGAAGTCAGCTTTTGCCTTCCTGTCTCCCCACTTAAGTGCCCATTCATGAGAATAAGAAAAAGTCAGAGGAGCAATACTGATCGGAAACCACATTAGTAGAGGCTCCGCTAGTGGCAGGGTCTGCTGTGCTGGAGTTAGCACGAGCTGTGAGATGTGTGCGAGCAAAAGTGAACTGCGAGTGTGTCTGAAGCACTTCTGCAAGATGCATTGGATTGTCAGGAAAGGGCAGTCCTCGGTCAGCACTGTGGCAGAGGCTAAATTCTCTGACTACAGAATCCCCCTCCCAGAGGAGCACAAGCTCTGCTCTGTCCGTCCACCTGTGACCAAGGCCTGGTGCAGAGGGCGTCTTCCCCTGCCGGGCATTGGCAGCTAACTGCACCTCTTTGCCTTCCAGCTGTGTCGACTCTACAAGTTTATTGAGCAGAAAGGAGATTTGCAAGATATAATGCCAACCATAAATTCGTTAATAAAACAGAAAACAGGTGTTGCCCAGTTGGTGAAGTATGGCTTAAAAGATCTAGAGGAGGTCGTTGGACTGTTGAAGAAACTTGGCATCAAGTTACAGGTTTGGCATCCATTCAGTACTGGCCGTACAGATCTGCAGCATTACTACCAGCATAAGGAGGAGATGGGTTTTATTTCATTAATGTCACTGAGTGGCCTCTTTTTTTTTGAGGGAGATTTTTGCTATAGGGCACTGTGTGCTCTCTGGAGAGACACAGACAGAAAGGAGGAAATCACCCCCCAGAGAAGATGGCCTTGCTGCAGTCCCTTCTCCTCTGTTTTCTTGGGATTTCGGGCAAGCACACATGCTCTGCTGTGACTGTTTTTATTTATTTATTTATTTGTTTATTTGTTTTTTGTTTTTTGAGAGTTTTTTGCTATAGGGCACGTGCGCTCACCAGGAAGACAGAGAGAGAGAGACAGAAAGCGAGAAATCACCCCCCAGCTGGGATGGCCACGCCGCAATCCTTTCTCCTCCATTCTCCTCTCAAGATCTTGGGCACGCGTGCACATGCGCCCAGCATGAGTTTAAGCCACCAGGTCTGGGACTCGAACCATGGTCGACTACATGGGACATAGCCATTATGCTAACTGCTGGTCCCTCCTGCTGTGAGTTTTAAGCCACTTGGTCTAGGATCTGAACCTCAGCCAGCCAGATGGGAGTCCAGCACCTTAACCGCTATGCCACCTGTCGACCCTTAATGAGTGACTTATTTCTCCACAAAAACCCTTTCTTTGATATGTTTTGTTACGTTTGATAACTAGCTGTAATCTTGGCTTACCTCAGGATTTCTTTGCAAACATTACGATTCTTACAGTGCAGCAATTTTTATTGTGTTAGCCTGGGGGAGGCGGGGGTTACTCTTAAAGAGAACAGAGTTTCTCTTACTTGGCAGGCTACAATTAAGACAGACTGTGCCAGATTTTAGTGAATATTTTGTTTATGCTAAATACGTTGTTCAGATGCTGTTGATGAAAAACAGCATTTTAGAGTTGTATTTCACATTTGGAATTTCAGATCTCTGATGTGTCTGTGTGGCATCTCACTCTGCAGGTCTTGATCAATTTGGGACTGGTTTATAAGGTACAGCAGCACAACGGGATCATCTTCCAGTGTGTGGCATTCATCAGACGAAGGCAGAGGGCTGTGCCTGAAATCCTTGCAGCTGGGGGCAGATATGACCTGCTGGTGAGCACCTGTTCCCCCTTTTTTTTATTCTATATCATTTACTTCAGGATAGCACTTGCCTTTCATCTGTCTATTTATTCTGGTTTAATGTTATTTTTTCCTCAACCCATTATAAAATGTTTCAAAGCTATACAAAAATTGAGCCAGTAATAAAATTAAGTATCTTTATATCTTTCACCTAGAAATAGAAATATAAGTGAACCACATTTGTAATATTTTACACTAAAAACAACAACAACAACAGCAACAACAACAAAAAACAATTACAGGGCCAGAACAAAACAAAACAGTAACAATTACAAGTTTGTTTTGTTTTGTTTTGTTGAGAGGTTTTTGCTATAGGGCACATGTGCTTGCCAGAAAGACAGAGAGATAGAAAGCAAGAAATCACCCCCTGGCGGGTATGGCCACACCACAATCCCTTCTCCTCCATTTTCCTCTCGGGATTCTGGGCATGCATGCACACATGCCCGGCATGAGTTTAAGCCACCAGGTCCAGGACTAGAACCGTGGTTGACTACATGGGAGTCCAGCAACATAGCCATTACGCTAACTGCTGGTCCGACAATTACAAGTTTTTAATTATAGGAAGTTGCAAAGATGGAACAAAGAGGTCTCATGTACCCTTTAACTAGTTTCCTCCAAGAGTGATTACACCCATACATAACTATAGTAAAATAGCAAAGCTAGGAAGTTGACATTGCTGTAACATATGTGCACAGTTCCATGCTGTTTTATCAGCGTAGATTCCTGTAATCACCTCCACAATCAAGCTACAGTGCTGTTTTATCACCACAAAGATCTACTGGTATCAGCATTTTATCAGTGCAAATGAGGTTTGTCAAAACCTTTCCTTCCTAGGGCCCCGTCAGGTGGTGAGTGGTGGTTAAGGGCACTGGACTCCCATGTTGCCGATCTTGGTTCAAGTCCTGGACCTAGCAGCTTGCTTTCTCCCTTTCCTTTTCTCTCTTTGTCTTTCTCTGGTCAAATTAAAAAATAGTAACAAATGGAATTAAATAAATAAATCATTTAAGGGGAAAAAAAAAACTTACCTTCCTGTATGTCCTTTTACCCCATGCCCAACTTAAAACTTTCTTAAATAATTTCTTTGCACAAATTGAGATCCACATCAAATAATGTTAAACTTTTGGCTTTGACTCTCAAACATAATTTAGAAAACGCAAAAAATGAAGAAAAGCTATTTATTTACCCAAAATTTCTGGTTTCTGATGAGACACCGTTATTTGAATTACTTTTCACCTTAGGAAAGGTGTTTCTTACTTGATACTTTAAAGATTTATTCTTAGTCATAGTTTAAAATTAAATTATGATGTGTCTTGGCATGAATTTCTTTGGATTAATCCTGTCTGGGGTTTACTTAGCTTCCTAACTCTATAGGTTTTGCCAGTTGGGGGCATTTTTCAGGCATTGTTTCTTTGATTGTGTTTTGTTCTAGTCCCACCTTCTTATTCCTCTCCTTCTGTGACTCAAGTGACACAAATGTTTTGTTCTGTCCCTTGATTTCTGGGACATTTTGTTTTCCACTCCATTTTCTCTGCTATTCAGATTGAATAGTTCCTACATTTTTATCTTCACTTACTGGTTATTTCCTGTTGAGAATCTATCCGGCGAGTTTTTAGTTTTGATATTTTTATCTTTTACTTCTTTGCTGAAACTTTACACTATTCTATTTGTTTCAAGCCTGTCTCTAATGCTTGTTGAAACTTTTTTTGGGGGGGAGGGGGGAGAAGTTTTTGCTATAGGGTATGTGTGCTCACCATTAAAAACAGAGAGAGGCAGAAAGTGAGAAATCACCCCCAGTGGGGATGGCCACACCACAATCCCTTCTCCTCCACTCTCCTCTTGGGATCTCAGACACGCACTCACATGCACCTAGCATGAGTTTAAGCCACTGGGTCCGGAACTCAAACCGTGGTCAACTACATGGGAGTCCAGCAACATAGCCATTACGCCAACTGCTGGTCCCTTGTTGAAACATTTTTATGGGGATTGCTTTAAAATCCTTGTCATATAATTCCAACATCTGTGTCATCTTGGTGCAGGTATGTTTGATTGTCTTCCACATTCAGCTAGAGATCTCGGTTCTTGGAACAGTGTACGATTTCAGTGTGTCCTGGGCAGTTGGAGTATTATGTTAGAACTCTCTAGAGCGTCTTTAGATCTTCTCTCAGTAGACTTCTGATACTGCACCCGTGTGGCCTTGGTGTGACAGCCTTTCTGCTCTCGGGGGAGGGGGTGAAGACCCAGGTTCCCTGCATGGCCTCCTTCCACGTGCCAAGGTAGGAAGAGTGCTTCCACTGACTATGGTGGGAGCAGAGGAGTTGCAGGAGGCCTTGTTTCTGCTGGACAGTGGTGAAAATTCCAGCTTCCCTTTTCAGTCTCCATTGGGATCACTCAGCAGAGAGAAAAGATGCTTTGTTACTGCTTGAGTGAGCATGGAAGGGCAGGGATTATCCCCAGGCAGATGTGAAAGTCCTGACTCTCTGCCTGCTCCTCTCTGAGACCACCCTGCAGGGCCTTGGGTGAGGAGGACTCTTTACATCTACTTAGGAATGAGGGTGAATATCTGGCACCCCTCTCAGCCTGTGAGGGTAGGGGTAAGGGCAGGCCTGTACTTTTTTTCCATGACATTCGGCTAGAGCAGGGTGGTTGTCCAAAAGTTTTCTATCACGCTGTTGCCTCTCTCTTGGTCTGGGTCTTTTGTGTCTGTTCCTCTTGGCATTTATGGGTTGCCAGTTTCTCCTGCATCTAATCCAGGTGATAGGCAGAGCACCTCACAGCTTAACACGTGTTGTTCCTCGGACCATAGATTCCCTAACCTCTTTCAAAGTCGTCTTTTTCTTTTTTAAAAAAAGTTTCTTTCTTCCATGAATGAGGCAGAGTAACAGACCCTCAACAGGGTCTTCACACCATGATCCACCCCAGTCCCAGCCAGTCCAGATCACTGGCATGCAAATGCATCCCTGGCACGCACACAGAAGTTGCAGGGCGTGAACCCAGGACCTTCCCATGTGAGTCCAGTTGCATTACCACTGTACCACCACCTGGCCCCAGAGTCTTGTTTGTTTTATAGATACCCAGGATTTGTAGCTGTATTTAGCAGGAAGAATAGGGAGATGTGTACCTAATCCATCTTGGTCTAAAACCTATATATATCCCTTTAAGCTATAAATTAGAAAAGTAAAAGAGACAAGTGGGATTAATTTTAATCATTGTATTTCACTTAATAAACCCAAAATACTATTTCAGCACATACTCAAATTCTAAAAATTAATGAGCTATCTTACAGTCTTTTTTTTTTCCACTCTCAATCTTTGTAGCCAGTGTATATGTCACATGTGCAACGTACATCTGTTTGGCTTAGCCATATTGCAGATGCTCGATGGCCACACCTGGCTAGTGGCTGCCATCTTGAACAGTGCAGATCTAGATGTTCTCACAAACTTGTATGCATACGTGCTTCCCTCTCTTACCACACACACATCTTTTAGTTAATGTTTTGATAACCAGTGGTGGACAGAGTGCTCGTCCTTTAACCATTGCTGTTCCTATAACCAGAACTGTTTGTCTCTCTCCACAGATTCCCCAGTTTAGAGGACCACAGGCTATGGGGCCAGTGCCCACTGCCATTGGGGTCAGCATCGCCATAGACAAGATATCTGCTGCTGTGCTCAATATGGAAGAACCCGTAAGCTCTGGCTTTGATTTCCAGCATGCTTTCAGACATCTTTCATTTCTGAAAGTATTATGGCAACTATAGACTAAGCGTTTTGGAAATTGCCTAAGACCTGTCAGTCCTTATATTCTGCTTCCTAGCTGGGTGACCTCAGGCAATTCATTTATCCTTTCCTAGCCTCACTGTCCTCATCTGCAATGCACTATGTAAAGGTGAGATGTCACAGTTGTTAACAGAATCTTGTCAAAATCTCTTGTTCAAAAATCCTGCTGTGGGGGACCAGCAGGAGGCATGGTAGTTAAAGGCACTGGACTCTCACATAGCCGACTCTGGTTCATATCCCAGGCCTGGTGATTTGCTTTCTCACTTTTTCTCTCTCTCCCTCTTCAAATTGGAAAATAATAATAGTAAATGAAAAGTTAAAATAAAATAATTCTTAAAAAAAAATCCTTCTATAACCTACAAAGCTAGAAATCTTCTTTTCCTCCCTTTTGTTTCAGGCAAGATTACTTTTTCCAGAGGAAAGGAATATCTTCTGATGGCTCAGGGTAGTTACAATAATTTCTCTCTTAAAAGACTAATATAAAAGTAGTTACTTATTTTTTACAGTGTCATTTCGAAGCAGGCCTTCTGCACACGGTGTTGCTGTAGAGGGTTTCAAGAATGCCTGTCTCCCAGAGTGCTGCCTCCTGGCCCGTTGCTGGCCCCACGTCCATGCCTGCAGTCTCGCTCTTCTAAGTGTAACCGCTCTGTTTCTGACCCAGGTTACAGTAAGCTCTTGTGACCTCCTGGTTGTAAGTGTTGGCCAGATGTCCATGTCGAGGGCCATCAACCTAACCCAGAAACTCTGGACAGC